TCTTTATATAATCAACTAGCTCGTTTCTTATTTCACAAAACATCTATCTAAAAAAGATATAGTCATATAAATCAACGTTTTTATATATTTTTATCTGGTTTCCAGAAGTAGCTAAAAAACTAATTAGTTTTTACAAACATAATTTATACTTAATCTGGATGGTTTATGATTTATGGACAAAATATAAATTAAAGCTATGTACTTGGTTTTTATTTATATACCATATTGCAAAATCATTATTTAAGTATGCGAAAATGACTTAAAAGCCCAACAAAGTTTTCAAACCGTTTAAAAAACCCCAATCATGTTTTGTTTGTTCAAAAAAACCCAACAAACTTAACATTTTATCTAAAAAGCCCAACTAAGTTACACTTTCTCGAAAGTCAAATAAGAGAAACAGATGACGTGACTTATTACCGTATCGGAAAAATGACTTGTTAGACCAACGAAGTTTCCAAAACGTTTAAAGAACTCCAATCATGTTTTGACTGTTAAAAAAAAACCCAACGAACTTAAACAAAACAAAATTGAAATTTTCTGAATGGTTTGAAACTTTGTTGGACTTTTTAGATAAAAGGTTAAGTTCGTTGGATTTTCTTGAACAGACAAAACATGATTGAGGTTTTTTGAATGGTTTGAAAACTTCATTGGACTTTTAAGTCATTTTCCCTTTTAAGTATCTATGTTATAAAAACCTGACACCTAACTTTTAATAAGCGTGTCACTTATTTACTTAACATAGTTTAAAATTTAATTAAAAACTTATAACATAAACAACTAAACATTCATCTTCACAAAACTTTCCAAAAATAAATTTAGTTGAAAGCAAAAAGAAAAAAAAATATGCAATTTGTCGTATTATTTTGTGACTACATAGTACTAACCTATTTATTACTGAGTAAAAGAATTATTTTTTTTCTGTCATCATATTATATTATTGTACATTATGTATTAAATAAAAAGTTCTACATAAAATTTTCATAAATAATATATTTAACCAAATTTCAACATTGTGGTACTCCTATAGTCCTATTTAAGTTCCATGCATCTTATTATCACCAAACATCAACCGTTCACAAAATTTTTGCTAACCACTTTCACTCAACAAACCGAACCAAAATGACCCTCAAGGGTGCGACCACCCAAGCATGTGCCGCCTGCAAATACCAACGCAAGCGGTGCACCCCTGACTGCACCCTTGCACCACACTTCCGACCCGAACACCCACTGGTCTTTAAAAACGCACACAAGCTTTTTGGTGTAAAGAACATCTTAAAAATCCTCGAACAAATCGAACCACACCATAAAACCCAAGCCATGCGGTCCATAATCTATGAAGCTAACATGCGAGACCAGTTCCCAGTTTACGGTTGTCTCACTGCAATCCACGAACTTCAGTACCAAATAAGACAAGCAGAGGAGGAGCTGCATGATGTACTCACTCTACTTGCCTTTTGTAAACAGTGTCATCAAAAGCAACATGCGACAAACTTGTCCAATGTTGTATCCCATGATTCGTTACAACTTGGCATGACTGTAGTGCAACCAGATAATGCACCACTCACATGTTGTCGACAGACTGCAGCAACTCTTGCTCATGAAATCATACATGACCATGAGGAAATGTTCCCGGTCTTTGATAATATTGAAAACTGCAGTCATAAATAGGTTCGGAGGAGTAAATAAATCGACAATAACGACCATTAAGTGTTGGCTTCTACGAAGAATGTATGTATATGCATGTTTTAATGGGTTTTTGGTGATTGTCTATACATGCATGTATGTATATGCTATATGTAATTTGGGGTTCGTTTAAATGATTCAAATCTTGTTTAAGATAACGTTAAAGTTTTCTATATATATGATTTATATTTATATTTTTCGATAAACTATTAGTGTCCTATACTAATCCGCTTCTATATATGTTACGTTGAAGTCTATATTTTTATAGTGATAGTAGTATATCACATATTATATACCTAACTAACATGGTATCAAAGCTAACTTTTAGCATGTGGATACTTAAAAACTTCTTTGTATTTAATTTTATGCTAGAATTGTTATAGTTTTAAAAAATCAAAATACACAATCTTATTTTATGTTCATACAAGACATAATCTTATTTTATGTTTTATTAAATCGATTTATGTTTATTAAGTCACTTGATTACCTAATAAAAAATCTAACATTTAAATATAAGTGGGGTATAAAATAAAATGTTACCAAATGTAGGGATCAAATATGACAAAGTTTGAAAAAAGATGAGAGAATAATAAATGTTTGGGAATATGACTTATCAAGGTAATTAACTTTTCGGTACGTTCACATCTGGGTAGCTATCTTTTTTTTGTACATATGTAGGTAACAAACTTTTTGGAAGTGTTCACATATGATCATTATGACCTGCTATAGCAGGTTAAATCCTAGATATGAACGTTTTCAACAAGTTTGTTACTTAGATGTGTACAAAAAAAATAATTACCCAAATATGAACAAAACGAAAAGTAAAAATTAAATTACATGAATGGTCCCTATGGTTTGGGGGAATTTGTGGTTTTGGTCGCTAACTTATTTTTTTAACTTAAATGGTCCCTACTGTTTATTTTTGTTGTGCGTTTGGTCCCCGTCTTACCTAAAAATACAATTGTGCCCTTATTAATTTATTTTTTTAATTAATTTTCTTATCTATGTATTTATTTTTTACATATTTATAAAAATTAATAGACCACACATATTTGTATCTCATCGGATGATCCCTAGTATTTATTTTTTAATTAATTTAATTTTTTAACTCGGATGGTCCCTACTATTTAATTTTGTTACGAACTTGGTCTCTGTCTTACCTAAAAAGACTATTGTGCCCTTATTAATTTTTTTTAATTAGTTTTCTTGTTTATGTATTTATGCTTTATATGTTTAAGAAAAATTAGTAGACCTCACATATCTGTATCTCCTCACCATCCCATCTTTCATCATTCTCAACTTCTATTTATTTTTCATCTTTAGTGATATCGATATCTTCATCATCACTTCTTTTTTCGGTCCTTCAACTCCGTCGAATCAACACCACAACCCACTAAAGATGAAGAGACAGTAGGTTATGGTGTTGGTTCGTCAAAGTTGAAGTACCAAAAAAAAAAAAAGACGGTGAAGACGTCGATGTTACTAAAGATGGAAAATAAATAGAAGATTGGGAGGATCAGAGATGAGATGGTGAATGGTAAGACTCAAATTAAATTTCTCAAATGTGGTTTCAGGTTTACGGTGATGAGATACATATATGTGGGGTATATTAATTTTTTTATAAAAAATAAATACATAAATAAGAAAATTAATTAAAAAAATTAATAAGGGAAAAATAGTATTTTTAGATAAGACAGAGAGCAAACGCGTAACAAAAATAACAGTAAGGATTATCCGAGTTAAAAAAAAAATTAATTAAAAATAAACAGTAGAGATCATCCGAGGAGATACAAATATGTGTGGTCTATTAATTTTTGTAAATATGTAAAAAATAAATACATAGATAATAAAATTAATTTAAAAAATAAATTAATAAGGGCACAATAGTTTTTTTAGGTAAGATGGGGACCAAACACGCAACAAAAATAAGCAGTTGGGACCATTTAAGTTAAAAAAAAATAAATTAGCGACCAAAACCACAAATTCCTCCAAACCACAGGGACCATTCATGTAATTTAATTTTTAATTTTCGTTTTGTTCATATTTGGGTAACTATTTTTTTTGTACACATCTAGGTAACAAACTTGTTGAATGCGTTCACATCTAGGATTTAACCTGCTATAGCAGATCATAATGATCATATGTGAACACTTCCAAAAAGTTTGTTACCTAGATATATACTAAAAAAAAAAATACTTACCCAGATGTTAACATACCAAAAAGTTAATTACCTTGATAAATCGTATTCCCTAAATATTTCAAGAAACCTCTCAACAAAGTTTTTGTTCTTTAATGTTAATTTTTTTCCTTCCAAAAACCCATCAAATAGTAATTTAAAAAAAAAAAAAAAAAAAAAAAAAAAAAAACTATGATTAAAGATGTTCTAATGTTGATGAAAGACGAGAGACCACGGGACAACCATTTTATGATTGACGCCAAGCCAATCGGTACGATTAACGACGTTCAACTGACCGGAGGCGGAGATGGCCGTCGACTGGTGACGCAACTCTCAAGGCGGAGGTAGGAGGAGTACAGTCCTCCTGTCTACGCAGAGGCGGAATGAGAGTATGGTTCAACCAATTGGCTAGGTAATTAACTACTACGCATTTCAGTATGCTAATTCAGAATGTTCTAGAAAAGCTACTAGACCATATACTTAGTCTCGGTGAAAATGAAGAACATTCTTCCATTGTTGAAGAAACGTGGCTGTGTCGGGAAATTACCAGCACAATATCTCCCAAATCCGGACCTAGGGTTTCTCTGTTTGTGTTTATTAATTTGTCAGCCTTCGTTAGTCTTATGCACTAGAATCTAGGCGAGACTGTGCTTGAGATTGCTGCTTTTGCACAACTTAGAACGTTGTGCTTGTTAATCGTGGACTTGAGATCAAAAAAAGGGTAATCTGGATGCAATCAAGTGATCATTGCTTATTAAAGAATAATATATCTAATCAGACATTCATCTGTTTTAACTTTTAATGTCAACCTCAAGAACTCCTTTGACGTTTCATTGTTCAAATGTCATTGCATGGAATCATTGATATCCTCTTCATCTTCATTCTCTTGCTTCTTCTTCATCATTCTTCTCCATCTCCAATTTGCACCAACTCAAGTCTGATTCTACTTCTCTCTTTACATCTATCCGATTATGTTCATCTTAAGGTTTAATATTCTTTAATCTGTGTTGTTTTCTGGTTTTGCTAAACAGGCCAATTGAAGCCATGTTCTGATAATGGAACCAACTGTTGCGACTCAAATGACCTTCAACCTCCTAAAGGTCTATGTCTTGAAAAACTTGGAAACAGTTCCTATGTCCACATGGCTCCACACCCTGATGGCTCAAACCGAGTTTTTGTCTGCAACCAACAAGGTAAGATATGGTTAGCCATGGTTCCTGAAGTGAATGGTGGTTCCACTTTCACCCAAAGTTTACTGATAGACGAATCAGACCCTTTTCTTGATTTAAGTGATCAAGTTCAATTCGCAACAGAAATGGGACTCATGAGCATGGCATTCCATCCAAACTTCACCACTAATGGCAGATTCTTTGTTGCTTATAACTGTGATAAGTTTCAACAACCTGGATGTGAAGGCAGATGTTCATGTAATACAGATGTAAATTGTGATCCTTCAAAAGTCACATCTCTTCAAGAAACTTCCCCTTGTCAGTTTCACATTGTAGTTTCAGAGTTCACTACAAATGGCACAACCACTTCTTCAAAACTTTCATGGGTAAGTAATTATAAACTTGATTTGTGTGTTTTTGTAAATATAGCCACACTTTGACTTTTAAAAAGTCAAATCTTGTGTACAGAAGGGGCGTGTGAATTCAGTTGAAGTGAGAAGGATTTTCACAATGGGGCTTCCATTCGAAGCATATCATGCTGGGCAGATTCTTTTTGGCCCTGATGATGGATTTTTGTATTTCATGATTGGTGATGCTTCACATGATAACGATCCATACAATTTTGCACAAAACAAAAAATCATTACTTGGAAAGATACTAAGGCTCAACATCGACATCATCCCAAGTAAAAAAAAAACATATCTTTATTATCGATTTATCTCCACAAACAAAGTTTCTCACATTAGGGTATATCTGTCATTTTTCAGGCGAAGAAGAAATAAGCAGGCTTGGTTTATGGGGAAACTATTCAATCCCAAAAGACAATCCATACACCACCACAGATAAACAACTTGGGCCTGAAATTTGGGCCATGGGTTTCAGTAACCCGTGGAGGTGCAGTTTTGATTCAGAAAGAGCTTCTGTTTTCATATGTGGAGACATTGGGAAGGTATTTTTTTATTTTTATAAACATATAAATTTTGTGGGTATAAGTTATAACACCAGATTATAATATTTATTTATAGAATCAATACGAAGAGATTGATGTAATCAAGAAAGGCGGGAATTACGGGTGGCGTGTTTACGAGGGTCCGGATCCAGTACATGTACCCTATGCTCCTGGAGGGTACACCCCACCAAGCTCCATAACTCCTGTATTTCCTGTAGCAGGATATGGTCATGATAGTGTTGATACAAAGAAAGGTCCTGCTTCAATTATGGCTGGCTATATTTACCGATCTGCCACTGATCCATGCTTGTATGGCTGGTTAGTAATACTAATAATATGCTTGGTTGAATAAAGATAGGGATAGTTAGGTAATTTCATATATATATTTATATTTTCTTTAAAAACTTTTGCAGGTATATATACTCGGATTTATATAATTATGCGATATGGGCAGCTATTGAAACGGGTAAAAACAGTGAGAGTTTCAAGAGTTTTAGTGTTGGTTTTGGGTGTGCACATGACTCACCCATGCAATGTGGGTTCAAGCCAGGGGTGCACCAGGTTCCTGATTTGGGGTATGTGGTGTCATTTAGTGAAGATAATAATAAAGATTTGTATCTGTTGACAACTAGTGGTGTGTATAGAGTTGCTGCCCCGAGTCGATGTGGCTACCCTTGCTCCAAGGAAAGATATTTGAATTTGACGAAAATGCCCTCGTCTGGAACGTTATTGTTAATGGCTGCGGATTTAGTGGCATCTTTTGTCTCTTTTATGCTGTTTGTTTTGTTATTGATTTCTTGATGGAAAACAAGATATTTTGTTTAATTTATGCAGATATGTTGACGTGTACCAAATTGATCTTTAATCGGAAAAGCATAAATTGTATTTTAGTCGTTGTGGTTTTTTTATTTAACGAATTAGTTGACTGCAAATGGTTATCGATTATTTGGAGATGTCATTGGTGGAGGCATATCATATCATATAAATTATGAAATACTAGTGCTAAACAAGTGGAATGGAATTTAATTTGATGAAAACTACACGATTAAAATTTTGCTAGTAACAAATGACGTCTCTGAGTCGAAGATAAGAACTTGAAATCTTGTGTCGTGTGATTTAAGAAACTCCGAAATAACCAAAAAACGAAGATACGAGTGTCTGTGGAGGCTAAATACCAAGGTCCATAAGTATCCTAGTCACCTTGTATGTTGTATAGATTTTGTTTTTTGATCATTATTTGTTTTTACCTACCTCCCACTTATATGTTTGTATTGGTTTTTTTTTTTCTATGTATGTTTTGTTGTTCACATCAACTTACTCTTCCGTTAAAAACCTATAAGGTTTATATGCTTTGATCATGATTTATTTTTCATTTTGCTCATTGACTTACTCTTCCCTTGTTTACCTCATTTTCTAGGTCCTTGTTTTCGCTCCTGTCGAAGATCTTCTATGTGATGTTGTCGCTCTACCCTAATGGAGACACAACTGTTAACATACACCTCCTCTAGCTCTTTAATGGGAATTTCAAAATGCCAAGAGTCTAAAGAATTTTGAAGCGTGGTTTAGTTGGAAAGACTTGAATTCCTGATAAATTTTATACGTGTTAGATTCTTAAATAAATTAGGTTTATTAACTGAAAATACTAAATTTTGTCCACTTTATAGGACGAAGGCTTTCATGTTAATCAATTGAAACTAGATGGAATCAACTGCGCCTATTGGCGCTAATTCAGGACTTTTTTTGGCTTACAACTTATAAATATAGTACTGAAAGATGGATTATATTGATAATTATTAGATATATGGATGTTTGTCTTCTGGAAGTTTTTTTTTATATCTTCTTTGATTTTGTTGATCAGCTCCTCGTATTTCTTCTCCATATCTTGCATGGCCCTCATTGCCAGGTAGTTATCGTAGCATGTGTTGATCTTTGGGTAGTTTTCTATAAAGTGTGTTTGTGTTTGAGGTACATTATGTAATTTATAGAGTGTTTTTAAGAAAATTTGTAATATTAGCCGACACGTGTTGCAGAAAATGTGTGATGAGTAATCTCCTAATTAATGACGTGTTTTTCATATGTGCAAGTGTACTTGGAGGTTAGGCCTTCGAAATTTAATTGATTTTGGTTGTTTTAATATTTAGACGTATTTTAATAGATGAAGTTATTTTATTTATAAATAATATGTTGTAATGGTTACACTTCCTGTTTACATTGTCGTATATACATAACACAAGTAATATTTGAAGTCTACGAAATCGTTAATAGATAAAGTTATTTTATTTATGAACATTCTAACGGTTACACTTCCTGTTTACATTGTTGTATATACATAACACGTCTAATATTTTAATACTAGGAAATCGGGTCTTCAGTCGGAGGGTGTGTCTTTCATGCCACGTTTGTACTTGCCAATTCTTTTGTGGATTGTTCCCAACATGAAGGAGATGTTGTCCTGTATGGACTGATCTTCTGTTTTTGCTTTCTCAAAGATGTTATGCAGTGTTTGAACATCTACGTCGTCGGGGTGATTCGCTATGTATAATACGATATTTTCGTCGATGCAGAAACTCTCTTCTAGTCGAGATTGGATTGCTTCAAGTATATCACCGATTTCCCTAAGGAAATCGATCATGATGGTCAAACTTTTGTTGTAATCGCTGTTATTCATTCTGGGTATATTGTTTTTAATGGCTCGTTATGGCATTTATTTATAGAAGAGACAATGTATGTGTGTGGTGGATTGAGTGATAGTATTAGAGTTGGATGTATGATAATTTTTCGTAGCTATAGCATGGCTTAGTATGCAGCATGCGTTGTCAAGTTGTTTGTTAAACAACGTGGCCAGGTATGATTTTCGTGTGTAAAGATTATATATATGATTTAATTTAAATCCTGGATAAGGGTCAATAGTGGACAGATAATGACTACTTTTGTTTTTAATAAAAATAACGATTTATATAACGTTTTAAAAGTATGATATATTTCCAAGATAACAGTGAATTATAGATAGGGAGGAGTTTAATTCTTAGCTGTGTGCAGATGTGTTTAATGGTGTGTTGATGTCTATGTGGTAGTCATAGACTTTGCAGGTAATCATGACATATGGAAGGTTAAATAGAAATTATGAAATACTGTGACATTTTGATAGCAGAGAGGTTGTGATAAAAATTATATTTGTTTTTAATATCAAAAAGGTTAGGATCGTTGAACTTTTTAAGTCAGGAGTTATACTATGTTGAAGGTCAATATATTTGTTACGCTTAAAGGTTGTATTAAATTAAAACATAGGGAAAGAAGGCCGATATAAAAAGTAAAGAGATAATCCTCTGTAAAGGTATTCCATTTTTAATATTTTAGTAAACGAAATTGTAAATTTTATTTGAAAATTTGTCATTTTTCTTATTTAAATTAAGGATATTTACTATCATAAAAAGCCAAATACCACAAAGTCTGAGACTAAAAAACATGTTTTCTGGACTTTAGTTTATACATATTATGCAAAACTGATAATGTCATCATTATCAATGTCGGAGGGGAGATGGATCATTCTATCTTGCGTGCACTTTTACGCTTTGTATTTGATGTGTCTGCAATAGTAAATTTCCACATATAATTATATACTTATTTGTTAACAAAAATGTAAGAGGTTACTTTGTAGTGTATGCAGATAATAGAGAAATATTTACCTTGGCTTTCAAATGGTAATGACCTTCTGACGTTTGCTCTACTGTGTTGAGGAACTGAAGAACAGTCTTTCTCGCTGTCTTTTGATGGAGATCGATGATGTGGTGCTGGTGTTGTTGGGTATGCTGTTTCCTGTGGGTTACTTTTTTCGATATCTGTAATCATAAAGCGAATGTTCGTATCTGTCGATGTGTTTGTGATACGAAGTTTCATTTTTTTGGCTATTCCTTGTACAGTAGTGGCAATTGCAGGTAGTTGTCCTCTACAGTTTATGTCATCGTCTGGTACAAGTTTATCAGCTGTAGAACCGAATAAGTCTTGTGCTGCGTTATCGGAGAGCAGAGCAACTATAGAATTATTTTCGTCTGTAAGTGTTGCACTAAGCTTGAACCTGGGGTTTTGCATAGTAAATGTAGGTATAAAATCTATGATTTGGTTAAATATTTGTTAACATAAAAGTTATATATTTAGACTTACATTATAGTTGGTGCATTGATTATACCATCTGAAGGACAGAACCAACTTTTCCCCTGTTTAAAAGCTGGGATCTTGCAATTTGGACATTGAACTTGGTACCAACAATCAGAAAATACATACGCAGTTATGACAGCTTTTGTAGTGAAACTTTTGTTCTGCATAATAGATATGTTGTCATAATCTACATAATTTAAATTGCATTAATAAAAAAATATACCAGGAGTTCAGGATGACCTCTTTGTAATATGTCTCCTAATGGTGTTGGGATGTCGAAAAATATAGAGGAGTCACTAAACGTACGGAAACTGTACAATCGGGAAATTATATTAATCATTAACGAAATATTTACAATGTTTTTATATGCGTTAAAATACCTGTCCGTTAGAAGCGGTGTTTCTGGAATTGGTGGATTGATGTATAGGTGACTTGCACTGCTTGTTCCAAGTCTTAGGGAACCTTTAAATTACCAATTATACATAACATGAATGTAAAAAATATATTTGTTACAAGTTAATAGATGATATCAGAATAGTAAAAAAAAGTATACCATCATAGGTTGAAATCTTTATACTAGTTATCGCAACAACAACGGGAGCAACAGTATTTTCCAAACCAACAGCATCAAACTTTGAAGGTATGTTCGTGCATTCTTTCCATAAGCTTATTGCAATATCCTCGCCTCTAATGTTGGTATTTATAAAGCGTGTTAAAACCTTATGAAAATAATTATAAAAATACCTTACTTACAATTCATTCTTTAATATTAGTAATAGATATGGTTCTTTGTTTTTCTTCGTACACCTAATAAGTTTGCTGAAGACACCAATAAAATCTGCAAATGGAATTTAGTGGTTTACAAAAGTTATTAACGATTTATGTAAGTGTTTACTTTAAAAACGTGAATGCTGTATAAGTAAATGATAACCTGCATGTCGATCCACGTAATCTGCGATTTGTTTTTTAGTTATGAAAGTAAACCAGCATGCAGGAATTGTATGTGTGTCTTGGATAGATGTAATTGATGATGCCATTCCAGCAGCTATGTAGACCTCATTATCCAGCCATTTCTGATATCGGTCTGGAATTCCGCATGCATATTTTTCAATCGTATAGCATTTACTGGGAATTAGGACAGATTGTAAATATCCTTGGTCTTTTCGCTGACCCAAAATTTGAACAGCATCACCCTTATATAAATATTATGAATAAATTAGTATAAACTTGTGACAGAATAAGGAAAAATAAAATAATGGTATAACTTACATTTCTATCAACAGCTAAGAACCATGTTTCCTGAGTCCTTACTTGTGGAGTCCACATTCGCAATATTCGAAGCTGCAAACATGAATGAAACTCATATCTTGCATCTATATACATACCCCATAATAAAAATGTATATGTTGCATAAACTAAAGTATAGTTGTAGACCTGTATTGCTGTTCCTGGACATCCATAATGTAGATTGGAAACTGTTGTTACTGTTTGGGACATGGTTAAAACTGGAAAAGAAAAAAGTTAATACAACATTATTTTTTATTACATCTAAAAAGTTAACGTAATATGGTACAATAAAATGAATCAGATACAAGAAAAAAACAGAAACATTGTATATATGTTTAACCTCTGAGTTATTTATTTTTTGTAAGAAGTCTTTGAAAACAACATTTTTTGTAATGTTGTTTGTCGTTTTATCATCAGAATGCATAAGTATTTTAACTGCTTCTGGAGATGTGGCACGTGACAATGCAACATAAAGTTGGCCGTGTGTGAAAACAGGTTCCGGCAAATATATTCCAATTCTCGTTAAAGACTGACCTTGACTTTTGTTAATAGTCATACCATAACAAACTTTAACAGGAAATTGCTTTCTTATGAATGTAAAAGGTATATCAGGAGCTTTATGAATAAATCTAATACGAGGCAGAAAAACCTTCTTCCCAATGCTGGTTCCAGTAATAATTGATGCCTCAATCACATTTGATAACAACTGTGAGACCATTAATCGTGTACCATTACACAAACCTTCTTTCTGATTTATATTTCGAATTAGCATTATAGGTGTGTTAATTTTTAATAAAAGTGAATGTGCAGGTATGCTTGGAAATGTAAGTCCATTAAGATATTCCAACGGATAAAATGTATTAAACTCTGTAGTCTGCTTCCCGTTAAATTCAATGCTGTCAGCACTCTCGTAAATCTTTGAAACCCCAGGAATTTTACGCATAACAATATCATTTATGTGTTGTATTGTTTCGTTTTTGGGACAAACTATTGCCCTGCCAGATAACATGCTTGTTGAGACATTGGTTTGAAAGATATCTCCATAAACAAAATTTATAAGGGAATCTAACCCGTTTTCCGATGGAGGTATAAGGAGTGACCTAGGGATTTCAATCCATTTAGTATTTATCCTATCAACAGTATCCATATTACCAATCCTACCATCTCCAACCTGAACCAGCCATGTCGCAAAATCTGATGCATTTAACTCTATTTTCGATGACATAGATGAATCCTTAAGTCTCATGTTGGCACTTAGTTTACATAATTTGAAATAGGGCCATAGATAGGAATTGGGTAGAGTTAGAGAAACTATCTCAGACGGTGTAGATTTTGGGGACACTGGCAATGTCTGTCGGAAGTCTCCTCCTAACAACATAGACATACCACCAAAAGTTTTTGCTTCACAGTCAAGTATATCTTTTAAAGAACGATCTAGACATTCAAAACAACGTCTGTCACTCATTGGCGCCTCATCCCATATGATAATAGAAGTTTGCTTTAGCAACTCAGCAAGCATTGTGTGTTTTCTTATATTGCATGCGGTTTTTTCTGAAAAGTCTATTGGAATATTAAACCTGGAATGAGCTGTCCTTCCTGATGGAAGAAGCAAAGAAGCAATTCCTGAGGCAGCAACAGCTAGTGCTATTTTTCCTCTTGAACGGAAATAAGCAAGCAATGTATTCCACAAGAAAGTTTTGCCGGTTCCTCCATGACCATAAACAAATATAAGCACTTGTTGTTGTGTTTCCTCTGCAGAGCGAACGTCATTATACACCTGCAGCTGTGCATTATTCAGTAGTGGCAACATATGGTCATGAGTAGACATAAGAGCTGCCTTATTATAAGAACTTTCTTCTAGGAAGAGACGATTTTTTAACAGTGTGATGTTGCTATCTGTTAGTTTTGGTAGATGAAAGTCCAAAATAGATCGTGGTGGAGTAGACGACCTTAGTATGTGATCTAATTCAAATAAGACCAATTGTTGTATATGACTATCATCTATATTCAACTCAATAGTAGGATTTGATGACCGCATCCTATAAACTAAGTCATCACTCATTTTTCTCCATCCAATGTCCCACAAACACATGGGATCATTAACATCACATAAAAGCAGAAGATAACAGAAAAGAGACCGCAACTGAGATGAAGTCGCCCACTCAGAAGCTTGCACAAAAGCATCCATCCATTCTTTGTCATCTCCAATCAACCCTAATGCATTGCATGCACTACGGAAATCATCGTACATTACATCTGACACAGTGCGAAGCTCTTCATATGACTTACAACCTTTTTGGTGGGACAGCAACATCCTCAAGAAAAACAACTCTCCACCAGTTGGGTGGACAAATATAAGTCTACCAAGTGCACGGGAGTTTGAACGCCTTCTTCTTTTCCAACATTTTTCCCTGTCATCCCACCAATATTTCGTGGGGTAAGAGGCGTATGTAAGTTCGTGACCGGTTGAATCCCATCTATTCTTTTCAAACCAACCTAATACCAAAGGTGGGATTTTCGACTACCTCTTTGATTTGAGTATTTTCTTTAAAGAATACCGACTGCATATTCGACAAATGGACAGGAAGAATAATAACAGGGGGATCACGCTCATGAATAGGAAAATCAAGTATCCGCCATGTAGCCTCATGGGGACAGAGAAAACGCCCATCAATATAATTTTTTATCTCGTCAACAACTATACATTGTCCAGAGACAGACGTATCAGCACATTGAGTATCTTTCTGAACAACAAATCTGACCCGTTCCATTCCCTTCGATACATACTTGAACAGGTACTTAATCATCATATTCCACCCGCAATACTCAACATTAATATGTGCGTTGAAACGACTGGACAACCTCTTATTATACGGAACTATGTATCTGTTATCTATCTGTATACCACTCTGCAACATATGAAGTGAACTTGAATTTCTTTTATAATGAGCGTAGCCGTCCCTATCAAAAAACGTAGCAAAGACAAACGACTTAGGAAATTTTTTCTTGCAATTTCCATCCTTCATACAGGGCGCCTTAAAATTCAGCAAACCACATGGTCCGTGGACCATACACCTGGTAACAATTTCATATAATAGTGGCTCTGAAACAGGATCAGGCAACTCGGCAGTAATGTAATCATCAACTTTTGAAGGATCTTTTATCTTATGTGAGCCTTCAACCCATATAAGTATATGACAATGAGGCAACCCTCTCTTTTGAAATTCAATGGTATACAGATCTACAAAAAAATATACATACATATATATATATATATATATATATATATATATATAAATGTTAGAATAAAAAAAATACACAATTGTTATATAAATCAGCAAGACATAAGTTAGAAAGGAACTTACATGCTGAAACAGGGCCAAAAGTCTTATCAGATTTCAGATATGCAATGAATGCAGTGACTTTCATATGAAATACCCGTGAAATTATATCAGCTCTACTACCAACATCAGTTTGATGATGGGAATTCATATAACGTGTGATTTCTGGCCATCCAACATTGCACGTAAAAGTTATAAAGTACTGTGGATTCCCGTATTCCCGGCAGATAGAAAGAGCATCCTGATAGTGACTGTACATGTATCTTGGACCACCAACAAAAGATGGAGGCAAAAAAACACGCTTACCAACAGAACGACTTTCAGTATCACCACGTGAAAGTGCATCATAAATGCCACTAACATACGCTGATCTGAGTTGGCTCTGATTGTGTTCATAGAAATCAAGCCTTGACAATTCGATGCATGCATATGCATCCACCAGATACTGTTGAAACAGTCTACAAGAATTTAACAAAAGAGACCATACACCATTCCTTGCATGTATCTGATAACTATAATACATATTGATAGTAAGATTTCTAACCTTACTGCTTCTCTCATCATGAAGTTTTAAACGCGGAGACCAACCTGTTTCACCATACGGAAAAAGGACAGGATACTGCAAAGCCATATAGCTAGGATGAAGTTTGCTAATCCTGCGTGGAACACCACTCCTGGAATGTATAACTATGTCGTATGTACTGCCTATTGCGTCTTCACCAGCAACAATACAACCCAAAGTACCATGAGCTGGAGGTCCATATAAACGGCCAGGGACATCATTAAACAAACAAACCGCATAGTCAACCAAACTGTTTTCAACAGCAAGGTCTTTGGCAGTCTTAAAAGTCCTTACATACTCATTATGAATATTGAAAACACCCATAAGAGTTTCAACAATCATTGGATCTAAAGACTGACCGTCTTTCCTTTCAACTGCAGACAACCTATTCTGTAATTCATGTTCTGTATCTACAATATAAAGCTGTAAAAATCTAGGTCCTTTTTCATCAGGTATATCAAAGGCACCTATCCAATGACAAACCTGACCAGAAACCTTGAACACATAAGGACCAGCCGTTTTATTAACATCCTCATCAACTTTACCTCCAAAAGAGGTCATACTGAAGATATTATTATAACCCCTAATATTTTTTATAAAAGGGGGGAAATCATAAAGAGCCGTTAACAACTGAGGAGGTGCAAGCGAATACGGCAAGACTACAGAGCCAGACCTACAACAACGGCTATAAGCAGGACACTGTGGACGTGATAAATACTTAACCCTTTCATCAAACCAGAACAGAGCAGAACACGAAACACAAACAAAATTACAATCACCAATATCATCATAAGCAGGCAAAACAGGCAAAGAAGGTATCTCAGGAGGTAAAATACCAGCTAAACGTCTAGATAAGGGACGCTTGGAAGACAAAACTCTAGACATCAAATAAGTACATAACAGCAATTATAGATACCTAAATTTAAAAAAAAAAAAACAAAAAAAAAACACCCAACAACAAAAGAACATATAATCGCAAGATACCGGCAAACAGAAATTCAAAAGCGGCAATTAGAAAGCAAAATTAGAACGCAAGATGTAGCAAGAAGCCGACGTCTACTTAAAGTGATATACCGACAAACAGAAATCAAAAGCGCGAATTAGAAAGCAAAATTAGAACGCAAGATGTACCAAGAAGCCGACGTCTATCTACAATCACTTTAAGTCCATCTAGAATAACTTTAAGTCGGTTCTTTTAGGCATTAAGGCGGCCAAGGATAAAAAAAAAATATCCGGTGGTAAATGCATAAAGCAAGGAAAAAAGGGTAAATGAGAAATAAAAGTAACTCTAAAGCAAGCAGCCCGTGGCAAAAAGAGTAATTGAAGAAAACTTAAGTGGTAGAAATGAGAAAGCAAAAAAATTCCTATTCACGGCCCTTTTAAAGATTAATAATATATATAATAGTTGGACTATAAAATATTTCTATAAAATTTAAAAATGGTGTATTTTGATACGTTTTATGAAACTAGGTAGAGATGACTCCACGAGTTTGTCATGAATACTTTTACGCTTGTTTGTGTTATATTTGATATGTTTTAAGTGTTCAACATATGTAATTTATGATTATATCTGATGACAAGCTAAATCATAATAGAAACATAATGTTATATATTTTATTGTCCTAACTAAGATTTTTAATCCATAGTTTTGCTTGGATTAAAGTTCATAGGATCAAGACCTCATTTATGTCCCATACATAGATCAGACTTGGATATCCATCGACTACATTTATTTTAATAAAAGCATTGATAATTTTTATGATTTGAGAGGTCAAATATAAGAACTAGCGGTAAGATAATGACCTTTAAATTAGACCATTTAAGTTATATTATAATATTCAAGTAAGTAGAAAATGTAAAGTATATAGAAACGAATTGAATGATTTAGAGAGATAAAATGATATAATATACACTTAAGTATATTCATTCTCTTAAATTCATTTTGTTTCAAAATAAGAGGTTATTTTTGATGAATGATGATACAATTTTTAACATTAATTATAACTATCACATTAAAAAAAGTTAAAACATTTTTTTTTTTTTTTTTTTTTTTTTTTTTTTTTAACCCTAACACATAGAGACTCTTTGACCTAACAGTAAAAACATTCGTTTGAACTTTGAACATGTTAGCCAACTCGATTCGAGGTCATCACAGAAAAAGGAAAAACGAAGCAAGATTTCACGCGTAAAACGCTGTCGTTCTCATGTTCAATCCCCTCTCGTTCTCCGTACTCAAAGCCCTCGCCTTTGTCGAACAGAAACTGGTTTTCCCCTACACCCACACCCTTTCTGCCCTAATCTTCTTCTTCCTTTACACTCCACTTCCATTTTTATATTTTTATCAAACCCCTCAACCTCTTCACACAATTTCCCCAATTTGTATCTCTTTCCAACTTTTCAATTTCAACAACGACTACAAATTTCGTCGCCTTACTGGATTTCCTCTCTCTACCCCACAAAAAGAGAGGGAAAAGTAGATACTCGTATGTTATGTTATGATGATTTTTATATTCATGATGTTATCTCATTCAAAATCTGTTTCAGTGAGCAGATTTTCTTGGTAAACGTTCCTATTCAACGCAACCAATGATCTCTAATGTGTAGATTCTGTAGATAATCATTATCTTTAGCATTTCCTCTTCAAGATCCCCCCACCATGTCCGACGAGCAACCCTCGTCGCCGATCCATTCCGACGACGAAATCAAGAACAATAACAATGCTACAAACGGCAACAACGTTGTAGTGAGGAGAGAAAGGCCGTCACGTGCATGTACTGTTCGCTCGGCTGCTCGAATTTACGAGGCTGCAGTTGCGGAAGCAGCGGTTGTGTCCACTGTTCGGAAGCAGAAGCCACGGCGGAGACCTCGACGAGAAGTGGAGGAGGAGGAAGAAGAAGAGGAAGAACCACCGCCTTCTCCGCCCAATCCTTACAGCGACATCATTACACCGTTGGTTAGTGAGCCAGAGTCGTCACAGTTGCCGCGGTGGGAGATTAGGTCCATGTGGGAGTTGGCCTCAGTTCTTAACTTCTTAAATGTAAAGCTTTAAACAAAACAAAAAAAGAGAGACAATTTTCAAAGAAATAAGCATCAATTCTATTGATGATGCTGTTATTGCAATGTGAAGTATTATATTCTGGTTTATGATCTGCAGGTTTTCAGGCCTCTTTTGAATATTAAAGTTGAATTCTCGGTGGAGGAGCTGGAAACTGCTCTGATTTCACCGAATAATACATTGGGTGAAGTGCATATTCCTTTATTAAAGGTTAGTATAGCATGCATACAATTGAAAGTTTAAATCTTGCAAACTGTTACTTGTACATTCTTCATAAAATCCTTAATTTGCATTTGAATTTCTTGTTAACTTTGAAAACTATATGTTCTGGGCTTTGGAGAAAGAAAAAGATTACTTCTTTTCACAGATAAATGACCTTATAGCTTCTTGCTTCTGTGTCTTGGTTTATTCGATAATTTTTGAGTTTAAGGACTATATTTACCAAATACTGTGGCAACTGGTTGTAGTTAGAATACAAAAGCATTGCAAAGATCATGTGCTACTTAGTATATTGTTAATGTTTCTTGTGTGCATTATGAAGGAAAAAGAAAGATCGTTATACGATGTGTTTCATATCTTGTAAACATATTAGTTTGGCTTCATGTTTCTTCTTCTTCTTCTTTTTTTTCCTGTTAAGTGCTCACTTAGGAAAATTTAAGGAAAAAGTAATTGAGGGAAAATTTGTAAAAGTTAGGACTCATTGGAGAAATTCTAAACCTGTTAAACAACAGATCAAAGGTGACATATATGGATTTGTTATAGGTAGTCATTTTTGGGAGGTTGGTGATGGATTTAGATGTAATCAAACTTTATTTGAGTAAAATGTTGATTGCATCTGTATTAGTTACAAAGACATTCCATTTCAAAGGATGAAAGAGAAGAGAAGAATAATGTTTTCTCATCATGTGTTTTGTGTTTTTCTTGATAAAGTGGAGATGACAGGGTGTCAAATAAGTTAGTGTCTTTGGTATATTTCAGGAAGAATACCCTTTTTCTTAATATTTTAATGCATCCCCAAATATCTTTTTGTAAAGGTAGTGCATAGTGCATACCTACTTGAGATACGTTGATCCACCATCATTCAACCCTATGTGCATCCTGTAAACTTGTGCTTCTAGAGAAGTTCTTTAGGTTGCCCTGATAACTTTATTTGACACTGTAGTTTTTCTACTTGTATGTAGTGCAGTTGAATAGAGGATTTTCAAAAGTAGTAGAAAGGTATATCTTTTAAGCTGATATAAGATTTGATTAGGTCATGCTTGACTAGATGTAGCCATGTAGGTGCTGTTTCTTTTTGACTTAATGTGTAAAGGACTTAATCCAGACAGCTATATAGGGCTGTTTCTTTTTGACTTGGTCAAGCCAAAAATGTGAGCTTTATCCATTCAGCAATTCTTCTTTACAAAAATACCCCTCCTCTTTCTTTACCTGTTCAACCCTGACAAATACATTGAATTGATTAATTTGTGATTAGGTTTAGGTTTCTTGCATATGTATTAGTTATAAACAAAGGGTAAAATGGTCATTTAGTCTCATTCAGATGGTTTATTCGGTTCAATAAAGAACAAAACTTCAAAAAAAGAAACAACCCTAAACTTGAAAACTTGAAATGAATGATTGTACATACTCATCTCCTTCAATAAATCCTAACTTTATTATTATTATTATTTAATTTAATGTGTTTTTCCATTTAGGCAATACCTCCAGTTACTCGAATGGCATTAGGACAAAACACTTGGGTTACTGTTCTATGCCGAAAGCTAAGAGATTGGTGGCATTGGGTACTTTTGTAATTTAAGTCTAAGACTCTTTTATTTTCCCATGTGGCATTTCTAATAGATGACCACAATTTCTTTAACACTTGATTGCAGGTTTCAGAGGGGGAATTGCCTATAGTTGCATCACATGGGTAAAACTCATACTTATCATCATTCATTTAAATCTGCTTCCACTTGGCCTTTGTTTTCATCACTGATTTTCCAACTCTTTTGTTTTTTAGAGCCGAAATCAATACATACAACACACTTGATCCTCGTGTTCGTGTGGTCATACTAAAAGCCTTATGTGATATTCGTGTCGAGGTAAACATTTGACTTTTCAAAACCAACATTGATCGCAAATAAACAAAATGTAGGTTTTTTCTTATGAAAACATGGATTGATTTTTTGTTTTTTTCAGCAAGATGATATTCGAAGCTATATAGATGACTCTATAAAACATGGTGTCCCACTTTCTGCATTTCGTAAAGAGCGTACAGGTGGCGATTCTCATGGAGTTTCTTACTGGTATGAAGATGATCCTATCATCGGACAGAGGCTGTATCGTGAAATTAGAAAAGTCGAGGTGAAGAAAGGGAAGGGCAAAAACGTACATTCCATTCCTTCATACCAATGGGAAACCGTTTCAACTAATTTGGACGAGTTTCAAGACGTTTCTGTAAGTTTTCATTATTTCTTTCTTTTTCCAATATTATCCTCCTTGAAACCATGTTTTTCTTTTGTGGTCAACAGGAGAAACTATTTTCTAGCAAAAACAGAACTGAAGCTTCACTTGGGAAGAAACTAAAGAATGACATGCTTCCAGAGATTGAGAAGGTGCAAAAGGTAATTCACATTCCATTCCGTTCCGTTCCGTTGTGATTCCATTCCATTCAAACCAAATTTATTGATTTTTTGTTCTTGTGAAGAGGAAAGAGAAACTGCTAAAGAAACAACACAGACAAGCGCTTCTCCTGGATGGTATGATTGTGGATGGACTGGGTCCCGGCCGATCCCTTCGTGGTAGAAAACAAGTCTCCTACACATTTGGTAAGACTTAATACCAATTTTATATTTTTATTTTTCATACGCATGACATTGTGTTTTAAATTAATATATATATTTTTTAGATGATTATGACCGATCAATCAACGAGGCCATCAAGATAACCAAGTAAGCAATCAATTATTTAACTTATATTTTAAATCATATAGTTAGTTCTCTCTAAAGCCACGTGTCACATTTCTATTGGTTCAATTTTTTTTTTTTTTTTTTTCCAGAAGGAAGCAACCTTCTCCGGAACATACTGTAAGAAGAGAAGGTTTGAGACACTCACAATCACACGAAGCTTCCCAAAACGGTAGATGGGGTCCACCCTCAGCCCCCACACATAATTCCACATTTACCCCTCCATCGCCCGATTCACTAAACGACGTCGGAAGTGATTCCGATCATAAATCCGAACAATTGGACCGCAGGTAGGTATATTCTTTCGACTTTTCCTTTCGTAAAGTCCACGGCTAAAATCGTCATTTTACATTTTTAGTAATCGGAGGAGAGAGAGGCCTCAACGGTACTCCGCACATGAGTTTGTTGAAACAGATTATGATGAAGAAGAAGACGACGATGATGATGATGATATAGTTGGTGAAGCTGTGTACGATGAAGAATATTTAAAGAGAAGAAAAGAAAGAAGGAAGGTGTCGAGTAGTTCAGAAGGAGATGAAGAGTATCGATGGGATGGTGATAACAATGAGGAAGATGAAGAAGATGAAGATGAAGGAGAAGATTCTTTAAATGAAAGTGAAGAAGAAGACAGTGATGATGATAGCCCAAAAAGATACAAGAAATTACCCCGGACCAGGCGAGGAACAAAGTTGAGATCGGTGAATGAATCCAAATCGGGCCCCAGACGCAGCAGACGGGCCACCCGGAACCGTATCGATTACAAACAATACGAGTTTTCCGATACGGAACCGGAACCGGAATCAGCAAAGCCGGAGACTTCGGAGAGCTCCGATAAACACTCGGAATCGAGCGAAGAGAAATCCGGATTCTCAATGGGAAGCAGTGATGATAACGACACTGAAGGTGAGAACAACGATCGTGATCATGAAGAGATGAAGATAGAGGAACAAGAACCCATGATTCAAGAACATGAAAAAAACATCCAACAGGAAGAGGAAGAACCCATGAAGTTAGATAGTCCGGTTGAAGATGAATTTGAGAATGAAAATGGTGCAAGAAAAAGAAGGTTTCTTGATTTAAATGAGCTTGCACCAGGTTCTGGTTTTGAAGATGGTTCCATTAAGGATGATGATACAGATAACTTCTAGATTTGTGAGTCAATTTTTAGAGTCAAACTCATTTTTCAGTCGGTGTAATGTTTAGTAAGAATCGTCATCACTTATCATATAGACTCTCTCTCTCTCTCTCTCTCTCTCTCTCTCTCAGGATTTCAGTTGTAGAAGCTAAATTGTACCATTTGTTGTGCTTAAAATATCAAAACCCCAAAAGCTACTAATTTCTTATTTCCTACATTTTGTATGGAAAAAAATTTCATTCTGTACGTGTCTATTGTAAGTTACAATTTACAAAGACGCTATCTCATGTTACAACATTCTGGTCGTCCAAGAAGCTGTAATTTGTTCCACAAGCATACCATTTGTCTTGGAGATTGATAATGTGCTGTATAATAATCTTCTATGCAACCAAACTGGCAATACTTCAAACTATGAACGTAATCAACCAGCTTCTTTTTGTTGAATTGCTCGACCCACATTCCCATGCTCACATCTTCCATCTTAAACAACTGTTTCCAAAACCAAACCATGGTTAATTTAATTTAGTTCAACCCACTTAAAACACATGTCCACAACAAGAACCAAAGTTGGACCTCACCTTCAATTTATGCTTCTCGAACTCCGATGCTATGAACTCGGCAATATCCGATGATATAACATACCCCGGACCGTTTGCATATGGTGGATAATCTTCTCCTGGCCATTCCTGTATATAAAAATTATTGACATCAGTATCAGTATCAGTGTCGGCATCCAAATACAGTACAAGATCAAGATGTACCTCATATGTTACGGCCCATTTCCCATAGCGTAAAGGTTGATGATAGTAATTGATGTTTCCCACATACATGCTTTTGCCATCGCTTACTTTGTTTGCCTCGTTTAAAACAATGTCGACTCTAACAAACGTGTCATCATCACATTTCATGATATACTTTGCGGAAGCCGTATGAACCTAAATCAAATCATGCTACAAAAAGTTAGTACCCTTTGTATAAAGATTCCATCTTTTGTAATTCAAAACTCACCCCATATTCGCATATTGCAATGGTTTTCAAAACAACGAGATCGTAATGATCCATGTAAGGTACAATGACGATATCGCCAAAGAAGTCGGCTTCTTTCTTTAACTCGACATTCACTTCTTTTCTTGCGTGCTGTACATGTTATACAAGGTCAAAATAGTAATTTTACACATTGCGGTGTAAATTGTTAATGTCATTTACTTACGAGTGCCACAAAGAAACGAGCAACGACATGAGAAGACTTGATGAGATCATGTTGCATCCATGACTTCCTAACTGCCATTCGCTCGGCGAAATGATTTCCTGATGAAAGAATTCCAATAAACAGATCGATGGGCCCACTTGGATGAGGCGGCGCCTTCCATTTTTGGGACATTTCAAGGTGTTTTTGGGGTGCGAAACTTGGATGTGTAGAAGGAAGAGAGGCAGCAAGTATAGTGTGGACATCAATGTCCCCTTTCAAAGCCAAACCCGTAGCATCCTCCAATGCAAATCCCTATGTCAATAGAAGACTCCATTTGTTATATGGGACAAGACAGTCTTAATAAGACAACACAAAACATGTTTGGGCAAGATCTTACTGAACAAACTTTCTAGGATTATTTTAAATAACTTACGATGAGAGCATTTATGTCTTTTGCATGAGCATCGAGACATTTTTCTATTTTTTTTTTGTCTCATTATAATCTCGGTCTAAGTCTAATACATGCCAAATGCAACATGTGTTGATGCACTTACTGTTCGATAAGGAAATGAAGTGATGTGCCTGCCATCAACATAGACATGATAACCCTCTAAACCCACGCTAAGAGTGAGGACAAATAGCTTCCCTTCTACAAAGGGAAAGGGCCAATCAAAAGGCACCTTGGTTCGGCCTATCACTCTCTTCAACCACCAATTTGCTTTTGAATCTTCGAGGTGACCATCATCATCACGAACCCACTTCTCGCATTTCACCTTACCATCAACTAAAAAGAAACATGGAATAACAGGAAAACTTTTTATTTTCAAAATTCGATTATTTTGATATTAAATTATCAATAAATGACGACTTCATGTCATAGTAACAAGTTTAGATGCTTACATAGTAAATAATAGTCAATGTCATATGTCGCCGGTACCACATAAACAAAGGTTCTTTCCAAAGAAGAAGGGGTCCATTTTCATTAAATTCACACATAAATATCATTGAAACACTTGCTACCTTCATCCTAAGTTTCTTTTTTATGATGCTACGAATTAACTATACCTTTTACTTTAGTGAAGTTTCGATACACGATCAAAAAAACATGATGTAATTTAAGTTTTTCGATGATATTATCCTATTTTTTAACCTAATATTTCAATCGAACTTTGGGACCAAAGGAGCATTAAGGTTGAAGTCAACATCAAAAAATAAAGTTCATTTGCTAGTGGACCATTAAATTGAAAAGCTACTTGTGGACCATTGAAATGACACTAGCTTTAGAAATATATTCTATTATTATTACCGGATGGGCAAAAGCATTTTTTAGGTAAAGAGAAAACGAATTGTGTATGATTTACAAATCATCCACGTGTATATATCTCCTAAAATTGTCTTATTTTAAATTATTATTAGATCAATTTTAGTAACAGTTTATACTCATAAGTTGTATGTTACTAATAAAATCAAAACAAAAAGGTGAACATAAGTCGATTTTAGTAACAGTTTATACTCATAAGTTGTATGTTACTAATAAAATCAAAACAAAAAGGTGAGCATAAGTCGATAAAAAAGGACTCTTTTGGCAATTCTTATAAATTTAAAAGAGTAATATTGACATGTCACCAAACATGCCTGACACGTGGACACACACACGTTGCCATGACTAGACAACTTGTAGAAATTTATCAAATGATAATTCATTCATTCATGGGGAACAGAGTTTCTAATTACTTCTAAATAAAAGCTTTATAGTTCATACATTTTGGTGTTGTTTTCTTCTTTTAATATAATTTAACAATCTTAATGAAGACAATATTTAAATATTTAATTGGATATATAAGATTATAACTCTTAATTAAATATGTGACTTACCAGTCTCTTCTTCAACCCTAGACTTCCATCCTTCGCATCGATGAGCAATGCCCCATTGCATTCTGTAACAAGTGTTCTGTTCAATTACAGGTTTTCCACTCCAATCACCCTTCAATCGAGGATTAAAATGCAAAATTCTTGGTGGGTCTTCCCCATCAACAGTTTTCAAACCCTGCAACTCCATCATAAACTGTGAAACCTCACCCTGTTTCAACAATGAGATCTTTGGGTCTTGTTCAAAATGAGCGTTTCTAGGTTTCCCGACAAGAGTTATATGTGAACCCAATGTCATCCCACAAGGAAGCACGATAATGTTTCCCTTTTTTCGGAAACCAGAACCTGATAGCGTAATCGAACCAGGGCAAGTCTCGATAGTTTGGTTTTTGATACCTTCTGTTATGTTGTTTTTCGATGGTGATTCAACTTCTTCCCAGAAACTCTTCCCTACGAGAAAAGCTTCTTTTGCAGATGTTTGAATTCCCCCAAATCCAGGTGTAGTGTTTACAAAGTCGACGTCAAAATTCAAGTTTGATAAAGCTTTGAATTCGCGGATTTTTCCAACATGCCTAGGATTTGATGGAGCATAATGGGGGACTTTCAGAGGTCGAATTGGGGATTCTTCTTCACTGTCTAAGACTAACGATTCCTTGGACAATCCTTCGGTGAAGAACAAGGTATTTCTAGAACTTTGTTCTGCATCTTTTTCTCGAGTAACTGATTTGAACAGGAAGGGTGCTTCGAAATTGACCATGAGCAGCAGATACAAAATCCCTACGCCGATCAGAAATTGAATCCATCTTTTCTGTCTGAAAGACATGAACCCGTCTAATTTAGTCCGTTTCATGGTTAATCTCTTCAATTATCCAACTAAACAAGAACAAGAACAGACTGAGAAGTCGGAAAAAAACCAACCGTGGTGTGAATTATCGTGGATCATGAGAAGGAAACAAGTTCCGATTGATTTTGTATAGCTCTTGGGTCGCAGAATTGAACATGAAACATCAGACACGTTTGGAGAGAGTGTTACAGAGAGAGACGAAGGGTTATGCGGTGGAAGGGGAGGTAGAGTTTTACATGGAGACGTGGAACTTGGAAGTGTGTACTGAAAAAGAAGCTTTCGGAAGCGGTGGCCGGTGGCCTCTACCTGAAACCAAACAGAAATTGAAATAATTATCCAAAAATTCAAATTATGTGTACAAGTTAATCCTTTATATCATACTTATCTATCACACTCACAACTCTAATATGATAGAGTCGTTAAAATTAAGAGTAAATTACACGAATGGTCCCTATGGTTTAGGGTAATTTGCGCGTTTGGTCCCTAACTTATTTTTTTAACTTAGAAGGTCCTTATTGTTTGTTTTTGTTACGCGGTTGGTCCCTATCTTACCTAAAAAGACTATTATCTCCTTGATTTTTTTAATTTATCTGAATAAACACACATCTAATCCCACTCTCTCACCTTACCTCACCTACCCCATCATTTTTTTCCTCTTTAAATAATAATATTTTTAGATAACACATGGACCAAACGCGTAACAAAAATAAACAGTAGGGACCAAACGCGTAACAAAAACAAATCATAGGGACCTTCTGAGTTAAAAAAATAAGTTAGGGACCAAGCATGCAAATTACCCCAAACCATAGGAACCATTCGTATAATTTACTCTAAAATTAAACTTTTGATTTTAGGACTTATTCTCAATTAAAAGATCATATGTTGTTCTGATGTAGCATATTATATTTATTTTAGACTTTAACAAAATAATCTTATGTTAAGCCTTCGAATTCGCGGTAACATTTTTTTATATACCGATAAACTTAACTTTTGTGAATAATAGTTTTTGTTTTTTCTTCCAAAATATATACAATACAATACATTCGTAATATATGATTTCAAAGGATAATGGAAGTCCGAAACCTAAACATTTACCATGAAACTAGTAAACACTGGTTTTTCTCATCAAGCTAACAGTTTCGTACCTTGAGGGTAAAACTTTTCAATCCTTCATCACTGAAACGTTCTAAAAATAAAACCAAAAATTTTCATTTTTAATTTAATAAAATCAGTATTCTAAAACATCATCAATACAATCCAGATAAAACAAGTGTATCAAACATCAACTCAAATTAGAGTAAATCATAAAATACGGAACGAGGTGGTGTGTGTGCTGTAATCATCCCAAACCCTCGCCTTGGAACTAAAGGTACCTGAAACATAAACTGAAAACCGTAAGCATAAAGCTTAGTGAGTTTCCCATGATACCACATATCATACATATATAACATATAATGGGCCCCGCCCACATACAATTCGTATAAGCATAACAAGTAATAGTAGACAGAATAACCATCAGGCACCGCCCAGTAAGCATATATCATATGCACATACAAGTGTCACACAGACAACGAGTAAACTAGCATAACAGGTCATGGGTCAACATTAGTGCATTCGACTCGCTAAATACAGTGAGGAAACTCACCTCATACTGCTGAATCACACTGATAAATCCCTGGTTGCTGGTACGATAAATCCCTGAGCTATCAATATCAAATCATACCCAATTAATATTTGGAATCCAATCCATAATCCTAAATCCATAATTAGGGTAAATGACCAATTTACCCCTTACCTAGTTTGGTCCAAGACTAAGGCCCAAACTCACAATCCAAAAGGCCCAAAACCAAATAACCATTTAAGGCCCAAACATGGCCTAACGCCCAAAACCAAATAATCATTTAAGGCCTAAATATAACCCAGTTTTCCAAATTGGGCCTAAACCTTACATAGGCCTTACCCCGAGGCTCACCAATTTTTCCTAGTCCAAACACTTGCATTCAGATGGCCCAAAAAAAACCCTAAACACCTAAGCCTAAAAGAATGGGCCAATCTCAAAGCCCAAAATGCAAAGCCCATCAACTGAGTACGCGGGGTGTACTCAGCTATACGCTAAGCGTATATGCTTTAGGGTTTGTATGTTGCACGTACTGGCTTGTACGCCTAGCGTATCCCTCCTAGTCAGCCACCTTTCACATTTAGCCCTTAAACCCTTAAGACATTGCTCCAAAACGTAGATCTGACTTCCTTGAGCTGGATTATCACATAAAGTTGCTAACTTTACATTCATGCATGGCTAAAAGAAGCTCTTAAAGCTCAAGAGGACTTATTAAGTGACTTAATGCATGCATGTGACCAAAAAATCCAATCAAGCTTGCACCTTTATGATTAAGGGGTCCATCTAAAGCTCAGATCTGAAAGAATAAGTCCTAAAACCGACCCAACTCCTCCAACTAACCCAAAAAGGGACCAAAAGCATAAAAACTAATAAATTAAGAGATCTAATCATGAAGAAGACAAGGTTTGAACTTGATACCTCAATAAGCATGCAACAAGGGTGATGATTCTGGATCTATGACCTCCTTACCGTGCAAAGCACTTCAATCTTCTATAATTCCTTCACAAGGATCAAAACAACCACCATATTCTTCTGAAGGACTCAAATGATCAACAATGGAGGCTAAGGGATGATTTTCAGGGTTTTGGAGGCTTAGGTACTGGTAAAGAGGCCAACCCTAAAGACTTAAGGTGCTTATATAGGGTGCATCACCCTAAATTAGGGTTTCATTAAATCTCATGTACGCGCTAAAGACATAAGTGTACCCCCTTCCCCCGCCCCCCGCGTACGTGTATGGAGTCCAAAGCAAACCTTGCATCAGTACACTAAGCGTTCCATGTGGTACGCCCCGCGTACTACACAAGGACCAAAAATGAAACTTTAAAATAACAAAGGGAAATAAAGAAACATACCAAGATTCAAGTTTTATAATTCTTCCCCACTTGAATCAAACTTCGTCCTCGAACATATGTCTCTAATCAGAGCTACAACTGCCTTATGGCTAAGAGCATCGACCACCACATTGGCCTTCCCCAGATGGTAAAGGATCTCACAATCATAATCCTTCACCGCATCCAACCATTGATGCTGCCTCATGTTCAAATTCAGATGATCCATCAAATACCTCTGGCTCTTGTGGTCCGTGTAAATAGTATAATGAACCCTATAGAGGTAATGCCACTAAATCTAAAGCCGAAAACTGTTGGATTAATGTCTAAGTCTGTAACGACCAAATATTTGAGACCAAAAATTTCTTTTAATAAAACATTACTTTAAGCAAAGTCATCATTCCAAAACATAATCATAGTATTAGTTTTCAAAACACATGTTCATTATCAGAGTAAACATTCCCAGGCTGTCTAATCTATGGTGTGTGCCATGCGATCACCCCGAGCTCTTCCCTCCGCTACCGGAAGTACCTGAAACCAAAACTGAAAACCGTAAGCACGAAGCTTAGTGAGTTCCCCACCCTACCACATACCATGCATAATCACATACTGCACATACTGGGCCACGCCCGCTATCTTGGGCCTCGCCCCCTGCCTCGGGCCTCACCCGCTATAACGGCCCCGCTGCTCCAGGCCCCGCCTGGCTTCAAGCCCCGCTCGGATACATATCTGTTTCACTTAGGCCTCGTCTGTCACAGGGCCTCGCCCGCCAACAAATAATAACAAATAAACATATCACAACACATAAGCTAAATTCATACTACTGATCCTGTCCTAAAGCCTCGCCTATCCTGGGTCTCGCCCCTGTCCTGCTACTAATGAGCCATGGAACCCCGTCCACGCTCCTACTGGTAGTGAGATACGGGCCCATCCCACTCTCACTCCTTCCCTAACTTGGGCCTCGCCCCTGTTCTGCTACTAATGAGATATGGAACCCCATCCACACTCTGCTATTGGTGAGATACGGGACCTCGCCCACACTCACCTCCTTACTAGGCACATACATGTATCACACAGACAACAAGTATAAACTATCATATAAACAAATCCTTGGGCACCTACCCGCTATTAATGGACCTCGTCCTAAATATCAAACTAGCATATTGTGCCTAGGGATAACCCACGGGTCTTCTACTCATATCTACATGGGCCAGTATTGTGGCCTTAGACCCATTCACACAAAGGGAAACTCACCTGCACTGGTTGAACTTGTTGATGATCTCACTAGTTGCTGCCCGGCAACTCACTGAACTCCTGCTCCCCTTGCTCCCCGAACTACCAATATCAATGCAACACTGAGTCTAACTGACCCCCGAAAGACAACCAAGTCAACCCTGGTCAAAGTCAAAGTCCTGGTCAAGGTCAACCTCCCAGGTCAACCCTACTCGCCGAGTCAACCTACTGACTCGCCGAGTTCATATATTCAGAGTCCTTCCTTTCGCGTATCGACTCACCGAGTCAGTCCATGAATCGCCGAGTCTACTGATTTCTGAGTCCTGACCTGTCCAACTCACCGAGTCTCCACCCGACTCACTGATTCGAGTCTCAACTCGAAGGGTTTGGGGTTTCGCAACCTGACTCGCTGAGTACAAGGCAATCTTCATCTGACTCGACGATTTGTTCATCCCACTCGTCGAGTTGCTCCTCACCTTCATGCTACTCGCCGAGTCCACTCAAAGGACTCGCCGAGTCCATTCATATCTCCTTACATGCAGAGGACTTTTGAGTCATGCATGGACTCCAAACTATAGATCTACCCTTCCCAAGCCTATTCCTCACGTAAATTTGCAAACTTTACGTGCAGAGAAGGAGATCTAGGCAAAATACACCATAAACTAGGGTTTAAGGCAAAGAGGCTCCATAAACAACTCAAGGGCTGATACTTTATGCTTCTCAAGACCATAAAATGCTTAGATCTGAAGTAGCAACTTCAGATCTAGCTTCTAACTCAAATGAATAGCATTATGGCTAAAAAGCCTCAACAACCACACATAGATCTAAGTGCAAAAGAGTCCAAGAACTAGATTATTACCTCCAAATGCTCAGAAATATACTCAAAATACCATATCTATAGTCCTTTCTTGCACCTCCAAGTTCCTTCTTCCTTCTCCAAGCTTTAATACACCCCTCAAGGCAACAAATGGCTCAAATAGAGGATATGGCGGCTAGGGTTTGGTGTTCTGGGTTAGAGAGGCAGTAAAGGAATCCTAGGGGAGAGAATGAGGCGTTTAAATAGGCTCCAAGTCCCGATGTTAGGGTTTTCCTCGCACATACCAGACTCGCCGAGTCCCCTTGGCCGACTCGCCGAGTCAGTCACTTACTCCTCGACCCGGATCCCGCTCGGACTCGCCGAGTTCCTCCTTGGACTCGCCGAGTCGCCCTTTAAAATTAGTGTTTTCTTTCCTTTCTTGGCCTTCCAGACTTCGGGTGTTACAAATCTCCCCCACTTATACTAAACTCCGTCC